CGTCGTCTCCCAGTACTTCTGAGATCACGTCGTCTCCCAGTACTTCTGAGATCACGTCGTCTCCCAGTACTTCTGAGATCACGTCGTCTCCCAGTACTTCTGAGATCACGTCGTCTCCCAGTACTTCTGAGTTCACGTCGTCTCCCAGTACTTCTGAGATCACGTCGTCTCCCAGTACTTCTGAGATCACGTCGTCTCCCAGTACTTCTGAGATCACGTCGTCTCCCAGTACTTCTGAGATCACGTCGTCTCCCAGTACTTCTGAGATCACGTCGTCTCCCAGTACTTCTGAGATCACGTCGCCTCATAGTACTTCTGAGATCACGTCGTCTCCCAGTACTTCTGAGATCACGTCGTCTCCCAGTACTTCTGAGATCACGTCGTCTCCCAGTACTTCTGAGATCACGTCATCTCCCAGTACTTCTGAGATCACATCGTCTCCCAGTACTTCTGAGATCACGTCGTCTCCCAGTACTTCAGAGATCACCTCATCTCCCAGTACTTCTGAGATCACGTCGTCTCCCAGTACTTCTGAGATCACGTCGTCTCCCAGTACTTCTGAGATCACGTCGTCTCCCAGTACTTCTGAGATCACGTCGTCTCGTCTCCCACTACATCTGAGATCACGTCGTCTCCCAGTACTTCTGAGATCACCTCGTCTCCCAGTACTTCTGAGATCATCACTACATCTGAGTCGTCTCCCAGTACTTCTGAGATCACGTCGTCTCCCAGTACTTCTGAGATCACGTCGTCTCCCAGTACTTCTGAGATCACGTCGTCACCCAGTACTTCTGAGATCACGTCGTCTCCCCAGATCACGTCGTCTCCCAGTACTTCTGAGATCACGTCGTCTCCCAGTACTTCTGAGATCACGTCGTCTCCCAGTACTTCTGAGATCACGTCGTCTCCCAGTACTTCTGAGATCACGTCGTCTCCCAGTACTTCTGAGATCACGTCGTCTCCCAGTACTTCTGAGATCACGTCGTCTCCCAGTACTTCTGAGATCACGTCGTCTCCCAGTACTTCTGAGATCACGTCGTCTCCCAGTACTTCTGAGATCACGTCGTCTCCCAGTACTTCTGAGATCACGTCGTCTCCCAGTACTTCTGAGATCACGTCGTCTCCCAGTACTTCTGAGATCACGTCGTCTCCCAGTACTTCTGAGATCACGTCGTCTCCCAGTACTTCTGAGATCACGTCGTCTCCCAGTACTTCTGAGATCACGTCGTCTCCCAGTACTTCTGAGATCACGTCGTCTCCCAGTACTTCTGAGATCACGTCGTCTCCCAGTACTTCTGAGATCACGTCGTCTCCCAGTACTTCTGAGATCACGTCGTCTCCCAGTACTTCTGAGATCACGTCGTCTCCCAGTACTTCTGAGATCACGTCGTCTCCCAGTACTTCTGAGATCACGTCGTCTCCCAGTACTTCTGAGATCACGTCGTCTCCCAGTACTTCTGAGATCACGTCGTCTCCCAGTACTTCTGAGATCACGTCGTCTCCCAGTACTTCTGAGATCACGTCGTCTCCCAGTACTTCTGAGATCACGTCGTCTCCCAGTACTTCTGAGATCACGTCGTCTCCCAGTACTTCTGAGATCACGTCGTCTCCCAGTACTTCTGAGATCACGTCGTCTCCCAGTACTTCTGAGATCACGTCGTCTCCCAGTACTTCTGAGATCACGTCGTCTCCCAGTACTTCTGAGATCACGTCGTCTCCCAGTACTTCTGAGATCACGTCGTCTCCCAGTACTTCTGAGATCACGTCGTCTCCCAGTACTTCTGAGATCACGTCGTCTCCCAGTACTTCTGAGATCACGTCGTCTCCCAGTACTTCTGAGATCACGTCGTCTCCCAGTACTTCTGAGATCACGTCGTCTCCCAGTACTTCTGAGATCACGTCGTCTCCCAGTACTTCTGAGATCACGTCGTCTCCCAGTACTTCTGAGATCACGTCGTCTCCCAGTACTTCTGAGATCACGTCGTCTCCCAGTACTTCTGAGATCACGTCGTCTCCCAGTACTTCTGAGATCACGTCGTCTCCCAGTACTTCTGAGATCACGTCGTCTCCCAGTACTTCTGAGATCACGTCGTCTCCCAGTACTTCTGAGATCACGTCGTCTCCCAGTACTTCTGAGATCACGTCGTCTCCCAGTACTTCTGAGATCACGTCGTCTCCCAGTACTTCTGAGATCACGTCGTCTCCCAGTACTTCTGAGATCACGTCGTCTCCCAGTACTTCTGAGATCACGTCGTCTCCCAGTACTTCTGAGATCACGTCGTCTCCCAGTACTTCTGAGATCACGTCGTCTCCCAGTACTTCTGAGATCACGTCGTCTCCCAGTACTTCTGAGATCACGTCGTCTCCCAGTACTTCTGAGATCACGTCGTCTCCCAGTACTTCTGAGATCACGTCGTCTCCCAGTACTTCTGAGATCACGTCGTCTCCCAGTACTTCTGAGATCACGTCGTCTCCCAGTACTTCTGAGATCACGTCGTCTCCCAGTACTCTCCCAGTACTTCTGAGATCACCTCATCTCCCAGTACTTCTGAGATCACGTCGTCTCCCAGTACTTCTGAGATCACGTCGTCACCCAGTACTTCAGAGATCACCTCATCTCCCAGTACTTCTGAGATCACGTCGTCACCCAGTACTTCAGAGATCACCTCATCTCCCAGTACTTCTGAGATCACGTTGTCTCCCAGTACTTCTGAGATCACGTCGTATACCACTACATCTGAGATCACGTCGTCTCCCAGTACTTCTGAAATCACCTCGTCTCCCAGTACTTCTGAGATCACCTCGTCTCCCAGTACTTCTGAGATCACCTCGTCTCCCAGTACTTCTGAGATCACGTCGTCTCCCAGTACTTCTGAGATCACGTCGTCACCCAGTACTTCTGAGATCACGTCGTCACCCGGTACTTCTGAGATCACGTCGCCTCCCAGTACTTCTGAGATCCCGTCGTCTCCCAGTACTTCTGAGATCACGTCGTCTCTTAGTACTTCTGAGATCACGTCATCTCCAAGTACTTCTGAGATTACGTCGTCTCCCAGTACTTCTGAGATCACGTCGTCTCCCAGTACCTCTGAGATCACCTCGTCTCCCAGTACTTCTGAGATCACGTCGTATACCACTACATCTGAGATCACGTCGTCTCCCAGAACTTCTGAGATCACGTCGTCTCCCAGAACTTCTGAGATCACGTCATCACCCAGTACTTCTGAGATCACGTCGTATACGACTACATCTGAGATCACGTCGTCTCCCAGTACATCTGAGATCACGTCGTCTCCCAGTACTTCTGAGATCACGTCATCACCCAGTACTTCTGAGATCACCTCGTCACCCAGTACTTCTGAGATCACGTCGTATACCACTACTTCTGAGATCACGTCATCACCCAGTACTTCTGAGATCACGTCGTCACCCAGTACTTCTGAGATCACCTCGTCTCCCAGTACTTCTGAGATCACCTCGTCTCCCAGTACTTCTGAGATCACGTCGTCTCCCACTACATCTGAGATCACGTCGTCTCCCAGTACTTCTGAGATCACGTCGTCTCCCAGTACTTCTGAGATCACGTCGTCTCCCAGTACTTCTGAGATCACGTCGTCACCCAGTACTTCTGAGATTACGTCGTCACCCAGTACTTCTGAGATCACGCCATCTCCCAGTACTTCTGAGATCACGTCGTCTCCCAGTACTTCTGAGATCACGTCGTCACCCAGTACTTCTGAGATCACCTCGTCTCCCAGTACTTCTGAGATCACGTCATCTTACAGTACTTCTGAGATCACGTCGTCTCCCAATACTTCTGAGATCACGTCGTCTCCCAGTACTTCTGAGATCACGTCGTCTCCCAGTACTTCTGAGATCACATCGTCACCCAGTACTTCTGAGATCACGTCGTCTCCCACTACATCTGAGATTACGTCGTCTCCCAGTACTTCTGAGATCACGTCGTCTCCCAGTACTTCTGAGATCACGTCGTCACCCAGTACTTCTGAGATCACGTCGTCACCCAGTACTTCTGAGATCACGTCGTCTCCCAGTACTTCAGAGATCACCTCGTCTCCCAGTACTTCTGAGATCACGTCGTCTCCCAGTACTTCTAAGATCACGTCGTCACCCAGTACTTCTGAGATCACGTCGTCACCCAGTACTTCTGAGATCACGTCGTCACCCAGTACTTCTGAGATCACGTCGTCTCCTAGTACCTCTGAGATCACCTCGTCTCCCAGTACTTCTGAGATCACCTCGTCTCCCAATACTTCTGAGATGACGTCGTCTCCCAGTACTTCTGAGATCACCTCGTCTCCCAGTACTTCTGAGATCACGTCATCTCCCAGTACTTCTGAGATCACCTCGTCTCCCAGTACTTCTGAGATCACGTCACCTCCAAGTACTTCTGAGATTACGTCGTCTACCAGTACTTCTGAGATCACGTCATCTCCCAGTACTTCTGAGATCACGTCGTCTCCCAGTACTTCTGAGATCACGTCATCTCCCAGTACTTCTGAGATCACCTCGTCTCCCAGTACATCTGAGATCACGTCGTCTCCCAGTACTTCTGAGATCACGCCGTCTCCCAGTACTTCTGAGATCACGTCGTCTCCTAGTACTTCTGAGATCACGTCATCTCCCAGTACTTCTGAGATCACCTCATCTCCCAGTACTTCTGAGATCACGTCGTCACCCAGTACTTCTGAGATCACCTCGTCTCCCAGTACTTCTGAGATCACGTCGTCTCCCAGTACTTCTGAGATCACATCGTCACCCAGTACTTCTGAGATCATCTCGTCTCCCAGTACTTCTGAGATCACCTCGTCTCCCAGTACTTCTGAGATCACCTCGTCTCCCAGTACTTCTGAGATCACCTCGTCTCTCAGTACTTCTGAGATCACCTCATCTCCCAGTACTTCTGAGATCACCTCGTCTCCCAGTACTTCTGAGATCACCTCGTCTCCCAGTACTTCTGAGATCACCTCGTCTCCCAGTACTTCTGAGATCACCTCGTCTCCTAGTACTTCTGAGATCACGTCGTCTCCCAGTACTTCTGAGATTACGTCGTCTTCCAGTACTTCTGAGATCACGTCATCTCCCAGTACTTCTGAGATCACCTCGTCTCTCAGTACTTCTGAGATCACGTCATCTCCAAGTACTTCTGAGATCATCTCGTCTCCCAGTACTTCTGAGATCACGTCGTCTCCCAGTACTTCTGAGATCACCTCATCTCCCAGTACTTCTGAGATCACCTCGTCTCCCAGTACTTCTGAGATCACCTCGTCTCCCAGTACTTCTGAGATCACCTCGTCTCCCAGTACTTCTGAGATCACCTCGTCTCCCAGTACTTCTGAGATCACGTCGTCTCCCAGTACTTCTGAGATCACGTCGTCTTCCAGTACTGCTGAACCAACGTCGTCTACCTCTACTGTTGAACCAACGTCGTCTACCTCTACTGTTGAACCAACGTCGTCTACCTCTACTGCTGAACCAACGTCGTCTACCTCTACTGTTGAACCAACGTCGTCTACCTCTACTGCTGAATCAATGTCGTCTACCTCTACTGTTGAACCAACGTCGTCTACCTCTACTGTTGAACCAACGTCGTCTACCTCTACTGTTGAACCAACGTCGTCTACCTCTACTGTTGAACCAACGTCGTCTACCTCTACTGTTGAACCAACGTCGTCTACCTCTACTGTTGAACCAACGTCGTCTCCCTCTACTGTTGAACCAACGTCGTCTACCTCTACTGTTGAACCAACGTCGTCTCCCTCTACTGTTGAACCAACGTTGTCTACCACTACTGCTGAACCAACATCGTCTACCTCTAGTGTTGAACCAACGTCGTCTACCTCTACTGTTGAACCAACGTCGTCTCCCTCTACCGTTGAACCAACATCGTCTACCTCTACTGTTGTACCAACATCGTCTACCACTACCGAGACCACGTCGACGACTTCAATAACCACCCTTAAGTCCACGTCGACATCGTCTCCTACAACCACTTCACTTCCTTCGGACTGTAATGAGGAATATCTTCAAGAACTGGCAAACAATCCTTCCCTGAACCCCGCTATATCCGGATGCGACGTCGTCAACTACGAGCGGTGCCAGCGTGACGCGGACGGCACGCCCCGCTGCCTCTGCATGCCCGGCTACGAAAAGTCCATCCAGGAAATTGTATCGACGTGTAAAGGTTCGTTCACGCTTTACTCTTTTTTTCCCCATCCTTGTAGTATTTTGACGTATATATGAAAGGTAACATGTTGTTACAATACTGTGATGTGTTACAATGACAGAGCTGAAGCAGCACGAGAGCAACATGACCGTCGAGCACAAGAAGTGGGACGAGGCCTACTGCAACAGCTCCACGGTCGAGTACAATAATCTCCTCACTTCTGTGCAATATTTGGTGAGTTTGTGTTTATTTGTTTAGACAGGTGTGTACAAGAACAGACGACCGCTGACTCCTGTTAGCAGGCTGAGGTTAGGTGTTTAGGTTCTGTTGGCGATTATTTGTATTTGAAGTACATGGGTGAGGCATTTATAGAATTGTAGTTTGAATAGAGGATGTGAGCGATGCACTTGTTCCGGAAGTGTTCGGACGTCATCAGTTGTGAGTCGTGTGCAAACCGCTTTTCATTCATAAACAGGGGTTTGGTGGCTGGATTAACGGCTTGGAGCTTAGAGCCCGTCCATTGTATGCTAGGACGGACTGCAATCCAGCCCGTCCTAGAATTAAAATCGACGGGCTGGAATCCAGCCCGTCCTCGCATACAAAGATCACGTATGTAGGCGGGAAAATAAGTAATATGTGAGTGAACTGACCCCCAGCACCTTGTGTGTAAACAGTACGTGGCGGCGGCCAAAAAAGGCAACATGCTGGACGAGTACCAGAACTTCACAGAGATGGTGGTGTACCCTGAGGGTGACCCCGAGGCCTGCGACGCCCAGCTCCTGGCCCCCCGGCCCCCGCATGCTGCCAGGAAGAGACGCCAGGCTGAGTCAGTGGGTGGGGCGCCCACTGCTCCAGCCAACTCCCAGCACTACTCTACCAGACTCAGGAGGAACACGCCTAAAAGGTTATCATTATTATTAGTGAACATTAATGATGAAATTTAATGACATTTAATTTAATGAAGCATTAATGCATATTAATGAAAGCAGATTTAATATCAAATAGGTTTTCTGTCACAAAATAAAATGTAACTAATGGTAATTTGCTAATCATTACCTAGATACATATAACTTCAATGCACAACAAATATTTGTGGCTAACAAATATGTTGTCTCTTTGTTTTATAATATTATATTATTATAATTATATATTATATATATTATTATAATTAAATATTATATACTGTACATTATTATAATTAAATATTATATATATTATTTTATATTATTATATTATTTTAAGGGGGCGTATTAAGTTTTTTGGGGGCATCATTGTGGTTTTTTTAAAAGTTATTCAATTTCAATCAAACTTTATTGACTAGTTGTATATGGAAAGGGCTCCAACTGGTCCAAATTTCAGCATCGCAGCCTAAATAGAAAGAGAAAAAAAAATAAAAAAATATTCATAATGTTCAAAAATTAACATCAACCACAAGTGTCAACATGAAATCATTTCTATAACACTCTGCTATCACAAAAGTATTTAATAAAGGATTAAACTTCTTAGTTTCATCCAACTGTACAATTTTTTTTTTTTTAAGGATGGGGTCTCGTTTTTTTTTTTATCCAGGGATTTGCATGGACCTTCTACACCTTACTGGACACATAACTATCTGTAAGGGTGTAATTTTGTAAGACAATCGGTTGACGTCAACCTCAGCCACAGGTGACAGAATCTTTTGTCTTCATTTTGTTCAAGTAAGAATTTGCAACTACAAGCTGGATCTACTCTTTCATTTATTATTCAATTTACATGAAACGTGGACCTTGTATGTAGATTTTCTGGATCTATAAACTCAAGTAATTATATTTTTCATAAGGCATAATTTCATATCGATTTTATAAATATTGATATACATAATTATGTTGCATAATTTTTGTGAGAATTGTACATATTTTTATTAATAAAACTAAACATATATTGGATAAAAAAACTTGATGAGATCCTTTATTATATGCTATTGTGATAGCTGAGTGTCATAGAAATGATTTCAGTTGACACTTGTGTTTGATGTTAATTTTTCAACGTTTTGAACATTCTTTGAAAAAAAGTTATTTTTGTTCTCACAAAAAAAGGTTTGTTGTTTTGTTTTGTGGCCTCACGTGACTTGGTGTTGCTCACGTGGCCCCACCAAGTAAGATGATTCGATGAAATTTCTATGCCCAAGTTGACCACCAAGTGCTGTTAGGATGTTGGATAAATAGTCTTACGACTACCAACATTTTTGTACAGTCAGTGTGGTCTAGTGGTTAAGATACCAGGTACGCCAAGGTGCATAGTGCTCCTGGCTATTTGAGTTCGAATCCTTCTGGGGTATGGAGTTTTCATGTGTGTATATATATATATATGCTATATATGTAATATATATATAATATGTGTGTGTGTGTGTGTGTGTGTGTGTGTGTGTGTGTGTGTGTGACAGCATCAAACCACGAAGGAAGGATTATGACAGGAATTTCCTTTTAAGTACTGTACTTTTGTATATAATAATACATTTTCAGAAGGCTAGATTTACAGTTTAGTGGGATGGTTATATAGGCAGGAAAGAGGTGAGGTGAAGAGGAAAGAGGAATCTTAGGTACGATTTTTTGTTTAAAAAAAATCCAAAAAATGTACAAATTGCTCAAAACCGAGAAAAGGGGATTGCCAATCGCCATATACCGAATGTGTATTGAATGAATGTGTATAAAATAATTAAAACAGATTTTTTATGCACAATTGTATGAGTTCAACAATGGTGTTAGGAGGTAAGGTTAAATTATAGTTAGGAAGTTCCTCTCACAAGAACGTCAAGAAGTCTTCAACCGGAACTCTAGTGAACAGAACATTGAAACTTTCAAGTTTAAAATCATAATTTAATTTCAACTCAGACAGCTTGTTTACCAAGTCCACATTGTTATGTGTGAGTTGGAAATCGAACCTACTACAGGGGACAAGCAATTTGAAAAGTTTGTATGCCACAGATCCATCAAAACTAATAATAGGTCTTGCAGTACGTTTTTATAGCCTTGCACACCAGACTTGATGTACGAAGTATCCCATATGGATACATTATGATTTTACCATGTTTATTTTATTTCCCTTTGACGTTCCGTGTTTTTTCTTGACAAATACGTTTCTAGTACTCATCGAATATGAACGTGTAAGGATATTTTCCACACAGATGGCAAGCTGCTGAAGCTGTTCAGGCCACGGCGGTGACAACTGACAGGTTAGTGGTGACTGGCAAGGTCGTCTTCAGGAAGACAGACAACTATAACGCCACTTCCAACGAGCAGTTGCAGGAGGCCATTATTGCCGTCATTAACGACAACAACACAGACACTGACCTTGAAGTTGATCCTGGGACCGTGAAAGTGGACAGTACGTCAACATTGTTTTCCCTAATGTATGATATATGAATACATTTTAATACATTAACATGTTTAACAGATTAGTTTATTTTTAGTTCTAATAGTAGCGAGTTGTTTCACACAAAAACACATACAATTTTGTAGATAACTTTATGCCGTATATACCTGAACGTTAAACTTATGTGAAGACATTATTTTTTCCTTGTCTTATAATGTACTGCATTTTAACCTACGACATTGTGTGGTATAACAGGTGTGGAGCCGAAGTTCTGTGACGTGGACGTGTTTTGCCCAAGCCCGAACGCCTTCTGCGTCAACACCAGCGACCCGGAGTTGAACGTGATTCAAGGTCGATGTCAGTGCTTCTCATCCTATCAAGACTTCTCTCCAAACAATGAAACCAACCCGGGTGAAATATGTATTAGTACGTGCCGCCGAGGATATTGTTGATGTCTGGTGTCAGAGCTGGAGGTTGTGTTGTTCACCGTTTTCTGTTTACTGTGCATTCTTGTTGTTTCTTCATGCAAAGTAGGGAAAGTGAGTAGTGAACATCCCATTGCAGAGAACTGATATGTACTGGATACCTGTCCTTCAAATGTTTGGTTATAAAACCAGGTATTGCAGGCATACCTGTTTTAATTGCACCATAGTATAGCGAAGCTTCTCTGCTAGTTTGTCAGATATTTTAAAAGTTCTATGCTAATCAATATCAGTGGTATTAACATAATAAATGAAGGGTTGTCAATTGTAAGTAACGTCAGACTTGCGGGGAAGATTTAAACATGTGAGTGGGATGTCCCGTCCTGTAGGTCTAAATTAGTAGGTTAGTAAACCAGCAAGTCAATTACTTTTCTCAGTTTGGGGTCATCACTGATGCTGTGACATCCCGTGCCTGGATGTAAGGCGGATGATAAAACGTCACAATACAACTTGGTTGACTGGAAGATTCACACCTCTCTGCCGCAGTGAACAGTGCAGTACGAATAGTGTCATAATTGTTTAGCAGAATATTGATAGATGGGAGACAAAGTATAGAAAGACTGTGAATATGTCTTACGTGACGTGACCTTGTTACATTAAACCATTCCATTAAGGAAACTGAAACGACTCTTAGCATTTGGCTTAAAACCACGTGAAACTTCTTGATAGCAGCTCCACTTGCCTTGAAAAACGATATGTTGTATAAAGGTCTTGTATTTGAATTTTAACTAATCCTGAGTATTATACTTTCTAAAAAGGAACTACAGACACACGACCCAATTCTCCACCAACATTCGCACTAGATATACTCGTTAGTTTGTTAATTTTCCCAGCTGAAAATACTGAAGTAGATGGAGTAACACACTGTATTCCACCTATTTAATGAAATGGTTCCATCGATCGTATCAGTGTTGATGTAGGAATTATCAAATATAAATTGAGAAAATGATTTCGGTATCGCTGTAGGTTCCGGGTGTTCAAGGGCTGATGCGTCGAACACCTTAATGATTTCCTATGATGCACAAAAGCCTAGAGCTGAGGTGATATTCATAAGGAATAACAGCTTCTAGCTCTCTAAGAAATATTTTCCGAATTAAAATGCTAAACAATTGGGCTAACAGGCCTCCTGTCTCGGACAAAACTAATTAAATACTTCTGATGCAACTCTTTCCCCACCCTCAGAGGTCTGCGACTCTGGCTTCTGCTCCAAAGGTGGAGAGTGTAAAATGGACTACGATTTCTACACTCGCTCCTGCAGGTAAGTAAGTCTCTTGCCGTCATAGTGATGTGTCTTCTGGCAGGACTCATGACTAAGAAAAAGTGATGTTATCACAGGAGTTGAATTTTATTATTAAAATTTTAAATATAGTTATCTTCGTATAGTCCTTACTTTTCACCAGTTTGCCAGTCCAGTTTCTCTTTATGAGTCCAGTCATATTTCTTAATATATCATACTTTTTCCTCGCGTAACATCACATACTTGTCTAGTTGTCTTTATATGGTACTAGTCTTAGAAGTGGGTCTTTGTAAAGCATTACCGCCTTTGTATCTCAGTGACATTAGTCTGTTTACTAACCCCTCATCTTCCCAGAATTTACCTCTTCGAGAAAGCAGGAATTTCATGTTTAGATCTGTTGTGAAATTACACTTTCGTTTTTGGTATTTTTTTAATGTAATAAAATAAAACATTAAAAAACAGAGTTCTTGAGCTCTGTACTTTATATTTTAAATATAAAACACAGAGCTCTATACGGTCTGAGGAAAGCATCGAAATTCCAGAAAACCTTGCACTATAAAAATGTGATCACATTTGTTCTTGACGCAAACACCAATAAAGCGAACCAAACGAGTCGGGCATCAGTCAACCTTGCTCTTCTTGTGATCAATAAATCACTCTTTTTTTAGAATAATCATCTCTTGTACTGGGAAAAATAATAATGCAAAATTTCTGACATTTTTAAGACAGAAAAAATCCTCCCGAACAACAATTTAATGACCAAAAAAGTAGGATGTAGTAGGAAAGTAGAAAATACGAATGAATTGCAACCCAATAGTCTACTGGTGGGACTCTTGATGGCTTCTTGTCTTCGGGAATGGCAACAATTCCTCTCTCATACCTGCCTGTTAGGTTAACTTTGGCACCTCTGAAGCAGAAACTAATTTAGTTGATTAACGACACCTTACAAGTGGTGCCTACTGGCTGCCACCCTCGACCTTGTGTAGTTACCAATCTATTTTGTCGGGACTGTTTGATGGGGAGAATTACTTAGGACTTGAACTTCACTAAATTGGAGAAAGTTCAGAGGTTTGCCACCAGACTAGTGCCCGAACTGAGGGACATGAGCTATGAGATGAGACTAAGGGAACTAAATCTCACGTCGCTGGAACACAGATGAGTCAGGGGGAGACATGATCACCACACACAAGATTCTCAAAGGAATTGATAGGGTAGACAGACAGTTTATTCAACACAAGGGCACACGAACTAGGGGACACAGGTGGAAACTGAGTACCCAAATGAGCTATACACTATAAATTTTGTTTTAGTATCAGAATACTTAATAAGTTGAATGAATTGGGAAGTGATGTGGTGGAGGCAGATTCCATACACAGTTTCAAGTGTAGATATGATAGAGCCCAGTAGGCCCAGGAACCTGTACACCAGTTGATTGACAATTGAGAGGCGGGACCAAAAAGTCGAAGTTCAACCCCCGCAAGCACAACTAGGTGAGCACACACACACACACACACACACACACACACACACACACACACACACACACACACACACACACACACACACACACACACACACACACACACACACACACACACACACACACACACTCGAACTGTAGGGAAGCAATCATTTCATTTCGCCCTGCCTCCGTATTCCCTCAAATTCTTGACAGGGATGAATTTATCTGTCTTAAATATTTACTGTTAACAACCGCCTTCTGTTAATAATGACTATATGAAGAATTCGTTGAAGACTGTCACAGGAGTAAGAGGTTAAAAAAACTAGGGTATACTGTATAATTTGACGAGACTGACTTGACAAGCACTTCGTGACATTAATATACTTCGTGGACTATTATCATTAAGATCCACGGGATGTATTTTATTTAGGATTCATTTTCAATCGTAAAGGCTATTATGTGAATACTCATTCTTTTAATCTCAGATGTCATTCGAGAAAGGTCGTGTGTGTTAAGAGCGACCTGTTCATCCAAGCGTCCCACAGCGGGGGTGTTCACACATGTATGATTACCCATCTTAGAATAGACATGTCTAAATATAAATTTAATACTTGCGTAAGTCCAGAATAAAAAAAACGATCATGAATCTTATTGGAAGGTTTTTCCAGATAATTTTGATCGTCCAACAGGTGCCTGACTCTTTAGAGTTATCTCATTATCATACTTATCTCAGTAGACCTCTGGAATGAAGTACTCAAGACCTATGTTCTCTCTCTCATTACTTCCCCAACCACGTGGACTGGACGGTAGAGCGACCGTCTCGCTTCATGCAGGTCGGCATTCAATCCCCGAATATCTAAGTGGTTCGGCACCATTCCCTCCTTCCGTCCCACCCTAAATCATTATATTCACCCCCTTCCAAATGCTATATAGTCGTAATGTCTTGGCGCTTATTTCTGATAGTTCCCTTCCCTTCTCCCATTACCTCACCGGAGCCCTGGTCTCAAGGACCCCGAGCCTGTGTTATCTCTCTCTCATTATCTCACTTTTTTGTTTATCTAAGATTAGGGTTCATAAGGGCTATCAAATGACATATTTAGTGAAACTACAAGTAAAAGCTGTTATCGTACTTCAGCTCATCTGTAGCCTGCTCCTAGAAACTCATTCATTTTTGAGAATATACATACAAACTATCACACAAGGAACACTCATAAATGAACTAGCTCCCTATCATATAAGGAACCTGGTGAAACTTCTCTTACTGGACCCCTGGCCTCAAGTACCTGTGGCTGTGTTCTCTCTCTCTCTCTCTCTCTCTCTCTCTCTCTCTCTCTCTCTCTCTCTCTCTCTCTCTCTCTCTCTCTCTCTCTCTCATGGCCTCACTTCTCTCACTAAACCCCTGACCTTAAGTACTCTACGGCTGTGTTCTCTCTCAAAACATTGCTATGGCAGGCCAACACTCTCACCCCAACACTTGAAAACCTAAGAACTATAATCTGCTAACAGATTATGACACTGACATTTGCGTCCGAGTTGTAACGTCCGCCACAAACGATCTTGAACAACATAATCATAGTCTCTCAGTTGTCGAATAAAGTGGTCTAACAGTTCAGTAACTTGCAGTCGTCGCCATGCAGTCATTCATGATGGTTTTAAGAGTCTGAGGAAGGTCTCAGGGGCGCTTAAGGGTAACATCCAGTCATCACCGCTGGCTTCAGTGACGTCGACGGCACCATTTTGGAATATGATCCGTCGACCTCAATATGTTCGAATATAACAATGACTTCGGGACTATATTCGACCATGTTGCTGTCGACGTCACTGAGAGCGGTGGTGGTGACAGAATTCAAGTGTCCCAAAGGCCTGCCTTTGAATGTCAAAAGCATTGTTAATGACTAACATAGATTTATTTTATTTTATTTTATTTTATTTTATTTATATATATACAAGAAGGTACATTGGGTTTTAGAGAATACATTGGATAGTACAGTATTTACATTCTTGTAAAGCCACTAGTACGCGCAGCGTTTCGGGCAGGTCCTTAATCTAACAGATAATTTAAGTAGGTAATTTCAATCAGAATTGATAAATGAAAGATACATTACAAGAGAAAAATGAGATGAGAGAGATAAGTGAGTATATTAAAGCACATTGTTATATTAAAGCTCTGATTGATTACATTGACAGCTTGATTAGTAATTTAAACAAGATTAATAGACACCATACAGCAGATTGACAGCACATATAAGACAGCAATGATCATAATGGTAAAGATGTTCAGAATGGGTACATAAAGATTGGGAGACTGGGTAGCAAAAGATACAGATAACAAGATTTATAAACACCATACAACAGATTGACAGCACATATAAGAAAACAGCAATGATTTCAATGGTAAAGATGTTCAAATTGGGAACATAAAGGTTGGGAGATTGGGTAGCAATAGATACAGTGCAATTTTAAGGCAAAAAGTGAAAAACTATGAAGATGAAATTAGGTACTTTTTAGTATTGATTTTGAATGATGTAAAAGTTGGACAGCTTTTCAATTCAGTAGGGAGTGAGTTCCATAAACTGGGTCCCTTTATTTGCATAGAGTGTTTACACAGATTAAGTTTAACTCTGGGGATATCGAAGAGATATTTATTTCTGGTGTGGTGATAATGGGTCCTATTACATCTGTCCAGGAAGAGTTTCAGACAAGGATTTGCATTTAAGAACAGGGTTTTGTAAATGTAGTTGACACAGGAGAATTTGTGGAGTGAGATTATGTTTAGCATGTTTAGGGAGTTAAACAAGGGGGCTGTGTGTTGTCTGAAAGCAGAATTTGATATTATTCTGATAGCAGATTTTTGCTGGGTGATGATGGACTTGAGGTGGTTTGCAGTGGTTGAACCCCATGCACAGATACCATAGTTGAGATAGGGATAGATTAGTGCATAATATAGAGAGATGAGAGCAGAGTTAGGAACATAATATCTGATTTTGGAGAGTATACCAACTGTTTTAGAGACTTCCTTAGTTATGTGTTGTATGTGGGTACTGAAGTTGAGTCTCTTGTCTAGGAATATGCCAAGAAACTTTCCATCATTTTTATTGCTAATGTTTACATAGTCAATCTGAAGCTGAATTGCATTTGTAGATTTGCTTCCAAATAGGATGTAGTAGGTCTTTTCTATGTTAAGTGTTAGTTTGTTGGTTGACATCCATAAGTGGACTTTTTTTAGTTCATTATTACCAACATCATTTAGTGTATGTGGGTTGGGGTTGGAGTAAATGAGGGTAGTATCATCAGCAAACAAAATAGGTTTCAGAATGTTAGAGACATTAGGCAGATCATTAATGTATATAAGAAATAGTAGGGGTCCCAAGATGCTGCCCTGTGGCACTCCAACGGTTATTGGTAGAATGGGAGAGATTATATTATTGATGGCTACACATTAGTGTCTATCACTAAGATAGGATTGGATATAGTCCAGTGCATGGCCTCGGATTCCATAATGATGGACAGATACTGACAGTTCAAATGATTGCGAGTTATCAATCTGCTAGGCCACATAACATAATAACCTTAAAGATGAATATAAGGAAAGTAATGGCAATAATAGCCTTAAGAGTAAGCCATTCAACTACACTAACCATGTACCGAACTGCCGTCTGTAACAATAATAGTGAGGAAATCTACCAGGGCTGTGAGGTGGTGCGAACCTACGGCATTGTCAGCCGCAATGTCTTGGTCTGATAAGTCTTGACCCACTAACCATGTACCGTACTGTCGTCTGTAACAATAATAGTCTTGACTCACTAACCATGTACCGTACTGTCGTCTGTAACAATAATAAGTCTTGACTCACTAACCATGTACCGTACTGTCGTCTGTAACAATAATAAGTCTTGACCCACTAACCATGTACCGTACTGTCTACTTCTACAGCTGCCTCGACTGGTACTACAGTGGGGAGAAGTGCTCCACTGACCTGAGAAGTAAGTACCGTCCTCAGGTTCTCGTGTCTCACATCCCCTCCAACCTATCCTGGTGAGACTGTCCTTGCCCTGTCAAGTCTTTAAGATGGCTACCATGCGCTAGCACTGTTTAAGCATCTTATTGCGTTGTCAACATCATATTGCGTTATTAACTTTATACATCTGATGACCGTTGGCACACACACACACACTGCCAGCCCCTTCGGCTGAATGGATAGAGCTTGGGGTAGTAGCCCTAATGGCCTGGGTTCGATTCCCGGAAACAAATTGGCAGAGTTTCAGTCACCCTGATGTTCCTGTTCATCTAGCAATAAATAGGTACCTGGGAGTTAGACAGCTGCTATGGATTGCTTCCTGGGGATATGTGTGTGTGTGTGTGTGTGTGTGTGTGTGTGTGTGTGTGTGTGTGTGTGTGTGTGTGTGTGTGTGTGTGTGTGTATTCACCTAGTTGTGTTTGCGGGGGTTGAGCTTTGCTCTTTCGGCCCGCCTCTCAACTGTCTATCAACTGTTTACTATTTTTTTTTTCACCACACACCACATACACACCCCAGGAAACAGCCCGTGACAGCTGACTAACTCCCAGGTACCTATTTACTGCTAGGTAACAGGGGCATTCAGGGTGAAAGAAACTTTGCCCATTTGTTTCTGCCTGGTGCGGGAATCGAACCCGCGCCACAGAATTACGAGTGGATATCCACCTGGCTACGGTGGTGGTGGCCTGGCTATCCACCAGGCTACGAGGCCTGGTGGATAGTGTTGTTGTTAAGGCCCCCTACGAGACCTGTGTGTGTGTGTATGTATGTGTGTGTGTGTGTGTGTGTGTGTGTGTGTGTGTGTGTGTGTGTGTGTGTGTGTGTGTGTGTGTGTGTGTGTGTGAGAAATATATGTAATGTATATGAAAGACGGTTAGAGCTATATAGGCGGAGTCTCTGCTAACAGCGGGATCCTGGGGGCCCAAGTAGTAAATACAAGCACACGTGCACAAGGCACACATACACACGTGCACAAGGCACACATACACACGTGCACAAGGCACACAAGCACACGTGCACAAGGCACACAAGCACACGTGCACAAGGCACACAAGCACACGTGCACAAGGCACACAAGCACACGTGCACAAGGCACACAAGCACACGTGCACAAGGCACACAAGCACACGTGCACAAGGCACACAAGCACACGTGCACAAGGCACCCAAGCACACGTGCACAAGGCACACAAGCACACGTGCACAAGGCACACATACACACGTGCACAAGGCACACAAGCACACGTGCACAAGGCACACAAGCACACGTGCACAAGGCACACAAGCACACGTGCACAAGGCACACAAGCACACGTGCACAAGGCACACATACACACGTGCACAAGGCACACAAGCACACGTGCACAAGGAACACAAGCACACGTGCACAAGGCACACAAGCACACGTGCACAAGGCACACAAGCACACGTGCACAAGGCACACAAGCACACGTGCACAAGGCACACAAGCACACGTGCACAAGGCACACAAGCACACGTGCACAAGGCACACAAGCACACGTGCACAAGGCACACAAGCACACGTGCACAAGGCACACAAGCACACGTGCACAAGGCACACATGCACACGTGCACAAGGCACACAAGCACACGTGCACAAGGCACACAAGCACACGTGCACAAGGCACACAAGCACACGTGCACAAGGCACACAAGCACACGTGCACAAGGCACACAAGCACACGTGCACAAGGCACACAAGCACACGTGCACAAGGCACACAAGCACACGTGCACAAGGCACACAAGCACACGTGCACAAGGCACACAAGCACACGTGCACAAGGCACACAAGCACACGTGCACAAGGCACACAAGCACACGTGCACAAGGCACACAAGCACACGTGCACAAGGCACACAAGCACACGTGCACAAGGCACACAAGCACACGTGCACAAGGCACACATACACAACAGCCAGCCCAGCCTCCAGTTTAGATAGTGCTTACAGTAACCATGTGGTCCATCCTACATATACTGAGGTAGTGATCAATTAGATAGTAGAATTTGGTATTTACTGACTTTGGAAAATCCGGAAAATCCGGATTTGTGTTCCTAATAAAACCTAACCTAACCATCCTAGGCCTTATATACGCTGAGACCTAATATAGTACATATATCTCCTATACTAGGTCTAGGAATATTTAAGTTTGCCTTTTTAGGTATAAAGTGAATAGTACCAAATTCTACTATCCAATTGTCCATTACATATGTATATGTAATGGATATATATATATATATATATATATATATATATATATATATATATATATATATATATATATATACATATATACATATGCATAGTCCACATAGTTACAAAAATGAATATCTAAACAGAAGGATGGGTTGCTATAGCACACGTGAATAGACCTAACCACACATATACGCTACACACGTCAGTCACGCAGAAAACACACAAATACACAATAAAATCATACCTACCCACACACACAAACGCAAACGCACCATGCATAATCCTTCACACAACAGCTCACATGAACACAACCACTCACCCAAAACTACGAATCCTTGAATTAAAAATTAAAATGTCGAAAATAAGAACATGGGAATTCTGGAATATTTAGAATAACATATATTTCACTCGACTGGACATCATATTTTATTATTAAAATATTTAATTATATTTTAAACGATTCTTTTAATTCTCATCTTTTTTTCCAGTCATAATCGGGTCAGTGGTGAGCGTGGTGGTGGTGGCCGGGGCGCTGCTGGCTACTCTCTTCTACACCAGGTAACTATACAACGATCACACCAAGCACAAAATCACCATAAACGCTTCCGCTCCGTCAGGATTCGAACCTGGACGGATAGGGGTCACCGAACCGGCAACCCAATACCACTCTACCATCCCTTGCCAACAAGTGGTGCATGGTCCTGGGGCTCACATGGTTTCACACGACCTCCACCACCACCTATCACCCAGCAACACTCGTGGTGCATCTTGGGTGAAAGTGTTAACACACTCACCTGGCGTTTCGCGAGCGCTTTGGCCTGGGTTCGTATCCTGGCCGGGGAAGATTTACTGAGCACCAATCCTTATCTGTAGCCTCTGTTCACCCAGCAGTGAATGGGTACCTAATTGTTAAAACTATTTGGCGGGTCGTATTCCGGGGAAAATTAACATTAAGGACTTGCCCGAAACGCTATGCGTGCTAGTGGCTGTACAAGAATGTAAAAACTCAGGTACATATAAATACAACAATACATACATATATATATATATATATATATATATATATATATATATATATATATATATATATATATATATATATATATATATATATGCGAACAAGCCTGAATGGTCCCCAGGACAATATGCAACTGAAAAACTCACACCCCAGAAGTGACTCGAACCCATACTCCCAGGAGCCACGCAACTGGTATGTACAAGACGCCTTAATCCACTTGACCATCACGACCAGACATAATGAGGTGATAGCCGAGGCTATTTGAACCACCCCACCGCCGGCACTCGGATAGTAATCTTGTAATCTTGGGCATAGCATTTTACCAAATCACCTCATTCTTTGGGGCACACGTGAGGAACACAAATGCGAACAAGCCTGAATGGTCCCCAGGACAATATGCAACTGAAAACTCACACCCCAGAAGTGACTCGAACCCATACTCCCAGGAGCCACGCAACTGGTATGTACAAGACGCCTTAATCCACTTGACCATCACGACCGGACATAATGAGGTGATAGCCGAGGCTATTTGAACCACCCCACCGCCGGCACTCGGATAGTAATCTTGGGCATAGCATTTTACCAAATCACCTCATTCTTTGGGGCACACGTGAGGAACACAAATGCGAACAAGCCTGAATGGTCCCCAGGACAATATGCAACTGAAAACTCACACCCCAGAAGTGACTCGAACCCATACTCCCAGGAGCCACGCAACTGGTATGTACAAGACGCCTTAATCCACTTGACCATCACGACCGGACATAATGAGGTGATAGCCGAGGCTATTTGAACCACCCCACCGCCGGCACTCGGATAGTAATCTTGGGCATAGCATTTTACCAAATCACCTCATTCTTTGGGGCACACGTGAGGAACACAAATGCGAACAAGCCTGAATGGTCCCCAGGACAATATGCAACTGAAAACTCACACCCCAGAAGTGACTCGAACCCATACTCCCAGGAGCCACGCAACTGGTATGTACAAGACGCCTTAATCCACTTGACCATCACGACCGGACATAATGAGGTGATAGCCGAGGCTATTTGAACCACCCCACCGCCGGCACTCGGATAGTAATCTTGGGCATAGCATTTTACCAAATCACCTCATTCTTTGGGGCACACGTGAGGAACACAAATGCGAACAAGCCTGAATGGTCCCCAGGACAATATGCAACTGAAAACTCACACCCCAGAAGTGACTCGAACCCATACTCCCAGGAGCCACGCAACTGGTATGTACAAGACGCCTTAATCCACTTGACCATCACGACCGGACATAATGAGGTGATAGCCGAGGCTATTTGAACCACCCCACCGCCGGCACTCGGATAGTAATCTTGGGCATAGCATTTTACCAAATCACCTCATTCTTTGGGGCACACGTGAGGAACACAAATGCGAACAAGCCTGAATGGTCCCCAGGACAATATGCAACTGAAAACTCACACCCCAGAAGTGACTCGAACCCATACTCCCAGGAGCCACGCAACTGGTATGTACAAGACGCCTTAATCCACTTGACCATCACGACCGGACATAATGAGGTGATAGCCGAGGCTATTTGAACCACCCCACCGCCGGCACTCGGATAGTAATCTTGGGCATAGCATTTTACCAAATCACCTCATTCTTTGGGGCACACGTGAGGAACACAAATGCGAACAAGCCTGAATGGTCCCCAGGACAATATGCAACTGAAAACTCACACCCCAGAAGTGACTCGAACCCATACTCCCAGGAGCCACGCAACTGGTATGTACAAGACGCCTTAATCCACTTGACCATCACGACCGGACATAATGAGGTGATAGCCGAGGCTATTTGAACCACCCCACCGCCGGCACTCGGATAGTAATCTTGGGCATAGCATTTTACCAAATCACCTCATTCTTTGGGGCACACGTGAGGAACACAAATGCGAACAAGCCTGAATGGTCCCCAGGACAATATGCAACTGAAAACTCACACCCCAGAAGTGACTCGAACCCATACTCCCAGGAGCCACGCAACTGGTATGTACAAGACGCCTTAATCCACTTGACCATCACGACCGGACATAATGAGGTGATAGCCGAGGCTATTTGAACCACCCCACCGCCGGCACTCGGATAGTAATCTTGGGCATAGCATTTTACCAAATCACCTCATTCTTTTCAATCATTCTCATTCCAAATCACACCACTTCTGGGGTGTGAGTTTTCAGTTGCATATTGTCCTGGGGACCATTCAGGCTTGTTCGCATTTGTGTTCCTCACGTGTGCCCCAAAGAATGAGGTGATTTGGTAAAATGCTATGCCCACGTGTGCCCCAAAGAATGAGGTGATTTGGTAAAATGCTATGCCCAAGATTACTATCCGAGTGCCGGCGGTGGGGTGGTTCAAATAGCCTCGGCTATCACCTCATTATGTCCGGTCGTGATGGTCAAGTGGATTAAGGCGTCTTGTACATACCAGTTGCGTGGCTCCTGGGAGTATGGGTTCGAGTCACTTCTGGGGTGTGAGTTTTCAGTTGCATATTGTCCTGGGGACCATTCAGGCTAGTTCGCATTTGTGTTCCTCACGTGTGCCCCAAAGAATGAGGTGATTTGGTAAAATGCTATGCCCAAGATTACTATCCGAGCGCCGGCGGTGGGGTGGTTCAAATAGCCTCGGCTATCACCTCATTATGTCCGGTCGTGATGGTCAAGTGGATTAAGGCGTCTTGTACATACCAGTTGCGTGGCTCCTGGGAGTATGGGTTCGAGTCACTTCTGGGGTGTGAGTTTTCAGTTGCATATTGTCCTGGGGACCATTCAGGCTTGTTCGCATTTGTGTTCCTCACGTGTGCCCCAAAGAATGAGGTGATTTGGTAAAATGCTATGCCCAAGATTACTATCCGAGTGCCGGCGGTGGGGTGGTTCAAATAGCCTCGGCTATCACCTCATTATGTCCGGTCGTGATGGTCAAGTGGATTAAGGCGTCTTGTACATACCAGTTGCGTGGCTCCTGGGAGTATGGGTTCGAGTCACTTCTGGGGTGTGAGTTTTCAGTTATATATATATATATATATATATATATATATATATATATATATATGTCGTACCTAGTAGCCAGAACTCACTTCTCAGCCTACTATTCAAGGCCCGATTTGCCTAATAAGCCAAGTTTTCCTGAATTAATATATTTACTATAATTTTTTTCTTATGAAATGATAAAGCAACCCTTTTCTCTATGTATGAGGTCAATTTTTTTTTATTGGAGTTAAAATTAACGTAGATATATGACCGAACCTAACCAACCCTACCTAACCTAACCTAACCTATATTTATAGGTAAGGTTAGGTTAGGTAGCCAAAAAAAGCTAGGTTAGGTTAGGTTAGGTAGGTTAGGTAGACGAAAAAACATTAATTCATGAAAACTTGGCTTATTAGGCAAATCGGGCCTTGAATAGTAGGCTGAGAAGTGCGTTCTGGCTATTGAAATTGAAATTGAAATTGAAATAAGTTTATTGAGGTAAAATACACACAAAGGGATGAGGTAGCTCAAGCTATTCTCACCCCGTTCAGTACAACGTGTTAGTACATACATAGACACACATCACAAACAATAAACCTGTTACCAAACATTCTGAGAGATAAACATGTACATTTCCTCCTTCACAAGTGGTATGGTATCAGACGTACACAAATACTTTTATGACCTAGTTATACGGATAATTCAACAAAATATTACAGTCTTGGTGCAAAATTCTTATATCTCTCAAGAATATCATCAACCTTTCCTTTGTGACACATCCAGGCTATTTGCTCAGGAACAGTCCTTATCTCAGTGTTTCTATATACATTAATCAACGGACAATCAAGAACATAATGGGCAAGGGTGTGAGACCTTAACATACCACATAGTTTACACTTCGTGTCATTATCATGAACATCTATCCCATATTCCCAGTAATATTTGTACCCAAGCCTGAGCCGCATGTACACAGAGTCACTCCAAGCATTTCTCCTTTTACCATAAGTGAAAAGGGTGTTTTGACTCACATACATGTAGTGTTGCATGGTTAGACTTCTCTCATACATTATCCCTCTCCTCTCCACTCCTGCCTGTGCCTGAATATTTCTGATTTTGCTTCTTATTTGTCTCATTGTGAATTCACATTCAATGTCAATTTGTGGTTTTGATGTGGCACGTTTGGCCAAGTCATCCGCCACCTCGTTGAGCACTATTCCAACATGAGATGGAATCCACATGAATTTCACACTATGACCTTTCAGCTGTATCTCAGCTATTCTTCTCTTACAATCCTCAACTATAGACATGAAGACTGGGTTTCGACTGTTTAAGGACTCCAGTGCTCCTCGGCTATCGACAAATACAAAAACATTTTTGCCGTCATGACGTACTTCCTCCAAACACGCCAGAATGGCCTGCAGTTCAGCTTGTGTGGATGATATATAATTACTAAGCCGGAGTTCAATTTTCCTGTCCACAGTCCCAAACTCTGTATATTCCCTTATGAGGACACCACACCCTGCCCTGCCATCCTCCGCCACCGACCCGTCGCAATATACATGTAAACTGTTGCCTCTTGGTAACCGGGATATCATGCTTCCATACATACACCGTAATTGTCCCGTTTCATGATGAATCTTTTTCACATTGAGGGGTACAATTTCGACGTCTATTTTCTGTACTTTCCAGGGAGCAGACCTATTACACTGTCGAGAGGGTTTACAGCAGTCAAGTACATCGTATTCCCTGAGGTCATGAGCTAATCCCCTCGTGTAGCGTGTCTCCCTCAGTTTCCTGGAAGTGTGTACGTCACTCAAGCAGGTCTGAACGCTCTCAAACAGCTTATCCCCTCCTTTTCTCCGCATGAAACGAATAGCTACTCTAGTGTTAATGTCACGGACTCTATCACACACACTCTGTAAATTTAATTCCATTCTCATTATTTCAATCATTGCATTTCTTTGACATCCAAGAATAATCCTCATAGCCTCGTTCTGTATCAGCTCTATTTTTTTAATTCTGCCTTGGCCTGTGTAAGACAAAACGGGTGCTGCGTAGTCTATCAGGGACCGAACAGTGCTTATGTATAACATCCGTAAGATAGGTACCCCAACACCTTTACCAGAAAAAGCCAGTGCTTTTAGAGGATGCAGACGGGCTTTACATAAGGTGCTGATATGATTTATTTCAGCATTCTTACTCTCACATGTGTATCCAACATACATGCCCAGATACTTGTACTTCTGAACACGGCTCAGTTCCACACCATTTAGAGTAAGTGTTATATTTCTTCGTTTCCTATACTCATATTTGGTTTTATCTGCATTTATAACTAAGCCTAACTTGTGACAGGTTGTACCAAGTATGTTAAGAGCAGTTTGAATTTTGTTCCCGGAAGTGCCTTGTATAAGAATGTCATCAGCATATATGATCGTCGTGACCCCTGGAGGATACATTTCTGATGCTAATCTGTTCATTAATACATTGAATAAGGTGGGACTTAATACTCCCCCTTGTGGGGTACCTAACTGAAACCTCCGTTCCTCAGACATGCATCCCTGATAATACACCTGACCTTTTCTGCCTTGTAGATAATCCCTTATCCAGTGTAACAATCTCCCTGTTATTCCCAGATTGGCTAATTCGTATAAGATTACTTCCCCATTGGCTTTATCAAATGCTCCTTGTAGATCAACAAAAACTCTACAATTGTCATCCACATTAGACAAACACTTTAAGAGACAATCCGCAGTACTTTTGCCTTTGATAAAACCAAAGAGATTACTGGACATGTTATCACCTACAAGGTAGAGTAGCCTATTTAACAAAATCCTTTCCATCATTTTACAAAAGCAGGATATTAAGGAGACAGGTCTGTAGCCACCGTTTGACTTAGGGATAGGAATGATGACTGCCTCTTTCCATTTTCTTGGTAACTTTCCCTCTCTATAACTCATATTAAACAAATCAAGTAAGGGACTAGGGTTCATACCGGCTAAATAATTAAGAATGTCATACGTTACTCCATCTTTCCCAGGAGCAGTAGAGCTGCCACTTTTTATAGCATCCAGTAGCTCATCGTGAGTTATCTCAGTGCACGCTATAGATCTTGTATTTAAGGCACATAAAGTTACTCCATTTCTAATATTTTCCCATGACTCAATGGTGATTCTCGTGTCTGCAGGTAAGGACTCCATACCAGCAGCACTTGCCCATTTATCTACTAACTCATTAGCAACCTTCCCTGGATCTGAGTGAGCAATGAATTTGGTCTTACAACCCCTGACTTTATTTACTGCTCTCCATATGTCTTTAAGGTTCTTAGTATTACCAATGGACTGAGCAAAGTCTTGCCAGTATCTGTCCCGCGCCTCCTTCCTCACCTGACTGCATTCCCTAGCCACTTCCAACATTGTATTTTTCTCTTCATCCCTCATTCCATTTTTTATCCATTCTTTATGTGCACTCCGTAGCATTCTCTCCCACCCCTTGACTTGCTGATCATTGGAATATTTAAATTTCTTAGGTCCATGCGTCTTGCTTCCCCTGCCCCCGTTATTTTCCCTCTGTACTAATTTCTCTATGTTCTCGACCATATCCTCGTAAAAACTATCAACGCAGAGCGGCGTGTATTGTTGATACCAATCTCCCATATTTTGAATAAAATAATTTTTCATATCTTTATTAATATTTAGCCTTTTCCTTTGAAAGTGGACTTGTTTTTTCCCCAGTGGTAATTCAACGTTCAAGGCAAAGTGGTCACTAAGTAGTTCCCGAACAACCCGAGCCTCCCCCATAATCCCCTGAGAGTTAAAATGCAGGCATAGTCAAGCCGTCCTCCCCTGATGTGAGTTGGTTCATTGTTTCCCAATAGACAGGTATCTGGATGATCTTGTAGAAACTGTAACCACTTGACCCCATTAGTACTAATGCTACCCACTGTCCCAAGGCTTGTGTGCCGAGCATTAAGGTCCCCAATGACCAGTGAAGGATCAGTATAAATGCAGTCAGGTAGATAGTTGGCGTCGAAGCAGTTCCTGGATACATACAAATTAACTACAATAAATTCCCCTTCCCTTAATGATAATTTAACACAGACACTCTCTATACCTTCCGTTTTTGATGGCGGTTCTACTAACTCTGCTGGTATGGAGTTCTTTACATAAATTGACGTGCCTCTGATGTTATTTGCGGCGAAGAGGTGAAACCCTTTATAACCATTTAATTTCAATAAGCCTTCATTCCTATCCCTTGTCTCCTGGAGAGCTACAACATCAATATCATTTCCCATCACATAACAATGAACATCTGTAACCCTGTTTCTTAAACCATTAACATTCCATGACAAAACTTTCAGTCTAGGGTGATCCATTATTAATCAATTCACTGCCTAAGTCATCCCCTATAAATTCACTAAATGATAGCCATACCTGGCATAACATCTCCCACCTCCTCCCAAGTTCACCAATAAAAGCGACATTGCGATTCTCAAGAGATTTTTTCAGCCCTGAGACGTCCATTATTGGCCCAAATGATTCCTTCATTTTGTGTGTAATTATAGGGTTCTTCCTTTCACTACGACTACCATCATTCACACACACTTCACTTTCTTTCATTTCAGCACTCAATATTTCACTATTGCCCTCAACCACTATATCCTGATTTTCTTTCACAGTTTTGTGAATTTCCTTGACCTCCTGACCGTTTAATTTAGCCTCGATGGACTCGATTCTCTGCCCAAGATTTTGGAACTCACCAACTTCTGGCTATTAGGTACGACATATATATATATATATATATATATATATATATATATATATATATATATATATATATATATATATAAATATATGTCGTACCTAGTAGCCAGAACGCACTTCTCAGCCTACTATGCAAGGCCCAATTTGCCTAATAAGCCAAGTTTTCATGAATTAATTGTTTTTCGACTACCTAACCTACCTAACCTAACCTAACTTAACTTTTTCGGTTACCTAACCTAACCTAACCTATAAAGATAGGTTAGGTTAGGTTAGGTAGGGCTGGTTAGGTTCGGTCATATATCTACGTTAATTTTAACTCCAATAAAAAAAAATTGACCTCGTACATTATGAAATGGGTAGCTTTATAATTTCATAAGAAAAAAATTAGAGAAAATATAATATTTCAGGAAAACTTGGCTTATTAGGCAAATCGGGCCTTGCATAGTAGGCCGAGAAGTGCGTTCTGGCTACTAGGTACGACATATATATATATATATATATATACCATAATATATTTATTTACCAATGTGTTTTACTCATCTTATACAGCCAAATGTTCTACTCACACCCGAGTGTTCCACTGACACACTCAAGTGTTCCACTGACACACCCGAGTGTTCCACTGACACTCAAGTGTTCCACTGACACACCCGAGTGTTCCACTGACACACTCAAGTGTTCTACTGACACACCCGAGTGTTCCACTGACACACCCGAGTGTTCCACTGACACACCCAAGTGTTCCACTGACACACCCGAGTGTTCCACTGACACACCCGAGTGTTCCACTGACACACCCGAGTGTTCCACTGACACACCCAAGTGTTCCACTGACACACCCAAGTGTTCCACTGTAAACTCTGTACTGTTGCCCTTTCCACAGATGGTCCAGAAGAAGACGCCGCGAGGATGCCCAGAGTTCCACCGACCCTCTTTCTTCCAGGGTGAGTGACCGGTGTTCCCCTTGTGACCGGTGTTCCCCTTGTGACCGGTGTTCCCCTTGTGACCGGTGTTCCCCTTGTGACCGGTGTTACCCTTGTGACCGGTGTTACCCTTGTGACCGGTGTTCCCCTTGTGACCGGTGTTCCCCTTGTGACCGGTGTTCCCCTTGTGACCGGTGTTCCCCTTGTGACCGGTGTTCCCCTTGTGACCGGTGTTCCCCTTGTGACCGGTGTTCCCCTTGTGACCGGTGTTCCCCTTGTGACCGGTGTTCCCCTTGTGACCGGTGTTCCCCCTTGTGACCGGTGTTCCCCTTGTGACCGGTGTTCCCCCTTGTGACCGGTGTTCCCTCTTGTGACCGGTGTTCCCCTTGTGACCGGTGTTCCCCTTGTGACCGGTGTTCCCCCTTGTGACCGGTGTTCCCCTTGTGACCGGTGTTCCCCTTGTGACCGGTGTTACCCTTGTGACCGGTGTTCCCCTTGTGACCGGTGTTACCCTTGTGACCGGTGTTACCCTTGTGACCGGTGTTACCCTTGTGACCGGTGTTACCCTTGTGACCGGTGTTACCCTTGTGACCGGTGTTACCCTTGTGACCGGTGTTACCCTTGTGACCGGTGTTACCCTTGCGACCGGTGTTACCCTTGCGACCGGTGTTCCCCTTGCGACCGGTGTTCCCCTTGCGACCGGTGTTCCCCTTGTGACCGGTGTTCCCCTTGTGACCGGTGTTCCCTTTGTGACCGGTGTTCCCCTTGTGACCGGTGTTCCCCTTGTGACCGGTGTTCCCCTTGTGACCAGTGTTCCCCTTGTGACCGGTGTTCCCCTTGTGACCGGTGTTCCCCCTTGTGACCGGTGTTCCCCCTTGTGACCGGTGTTACCCTTGTGACCGGTGTTCCCCTTGTGACCGGTGTTCCCCTTGTGACCGGTGTTACCCTTGTGACCGGTGTTCCCCTTGTGACCGGTGTTCCCCTTGTGACCGGTGTTACCCTTGTGACCGGTGTTCCCCTTGTGACCGGTGTTCCCCGATCACAAGAAAGTATTATCTGTTAGAACATATACCAGTTTAACAAATAAGAATTAGGAAGCGTAAATTACAGTGGTGTCTGGACCTTACACACACACACACACACACACACACACACACACACACACACACACACACACACACACACACACACACACACACTGTATCTGGGTCCGTATCTTCTTAAAAAAATGATCGATTCGATAAGGAACAGGTGATAGTGATTCATATAATCAGCCGCAATACTTCCTCTCTTCTTTACTCCATGTTAATCGCTATCTGCCAAGTGCGTTGATAATGTAGGAGTGCCGTGTCAGGCGACGTGGTGTGTGCGTGTTGGCAGGTTTGGTGGTGTGTGTGCGTGTTGGCAGGTTTGGTGGCGTGTGTGCGTGTTGGCAGGTTTGGTGGCGTGTGTGCGTGTTGGCAGGTTTGGTGGCGTGTGTGCGTGTTGGCAGGTTTGGTGGCGTGTGTGCGTGTTGGCAGGTTTGGTGGCGTGTGTGCGTGTTGGCAGGTTTGGTGGCGTGTGTGCGTGTTGGCAGGTTTGGTGGCGTGTGTGCGTGTTGGCAGGTTTGGTGGCGTGTGTGCGTGTTGGCAGGTTTGGTGGCGTGTGTGCGTGTTGGCAGGTTTGGTGGCGTGTGTGCGTGTTGGCAGGTTTGGTGGCGTGTGTGCGTGTTGGCAGGTTTGGTGGCGTGTGTGCGTGTTGGCAGGTTTGGTGGTATGAGCGCAGGGAAACATGTCTGTAGCAGTCAGTTGACTGGGTGGAGTTAGCGAAGACTGTAAAAATCCAAAAGGCCTTGAGAACCCAGATAATGTATGACATCACAGTTAACGTTATCAGGGTGTGCACGTGTGTGAAGTTCAGCTGATAATATTGATTTAAAAATATGATTTTCATTTGATTATAATTTTATCATTTGTCACACAAGTGATATCCTCACTTGACCTCGTACATAATGAAATGGGTAGCTTTATCATTTCATAAGAAAAAAATAGAGAAAATATATTAATTCAGGAAAACTTGGCTTATTATATCCTTATGAGGATATCACACAAGTGATATCCTCACTTGTGTGACAAGTGATAGATGGCGGGGGGGGGGGTGAAGTTGCTGGAAGTGCATATGATTGTTATTATGGTGGTGGTGGTGGTGGTGGTGGTGGTGGTGGTGGTGGTGGTGGTGATGGTGATGGTGGTGGTGATGGTGATGGTGGTGGTGATGGTGGTGGTGGTGGTGGTGGTGATGGTGGTGGTGGTGGTGATGGTGGTGGTGGTGGTGATGGTGGTGGTGATGGTGGTGGTGATGGTGGTGGTGGTGGTGGTGGTGGTGGTGGTGGTGGTGGTGATGGTGGTGGTGGTGGTTGTGGTGGTGGTGGTGGTGGTGGTGATGGTGGTGGTGGTGGTGGTGGTGGTGGTGGTGATGGTGGTGATGGTGGTGGTGGTGGTGGTGGTGGTGGTGGTGGTGGTGGTTGTGGTGGTGGTGGTGGTGGTGATGGTGGTGGTGGTGGTGGTGATGGTGGTGGTGGTGGTGGTGGTGGTGATGGTGGTGGTGGTGGTGATGGTGATGGTGGTGGTGGTGATGGTGGTGGTGGTGGTGGTGGTGGTGGTGGTGGTGGTGGTGGTGGTGGTGGTGGTGGTGGTGGTGATGGTGGTGGTGATGGTGGTGGTGATGGTGATGGTGGTGGTGATGGTGGTGGTGGTGGTGGTGGTGATGGTGGGTGGTGGTGGTGGTGGTGGTGGTGGTGGTGGTGATGGTTGTGGTGGTGGTGATGGTGGTGATGGTTGTGGTGGTGGTGATGGTGGTGGTGGTGGTGGTGGTGGTGATGGTGGTGGTGGTGGTGGTGGTGATGGTGGTGGTGGTGGTGATGGTGGTGGTGGTAGTGGGGAATGGGGATAGGGATGGTGATGGTTGTGGTAGTAGTGGGGATGGGGATGGGGGGTGATGATAGTTGTAGTGGTGATGTGGTAGTAACGATGGTGATTGTGGTAGTAGGGATGATGGTGGTAGTGGTAAACGGTGAAGGAGATTGTGGTGGTGATAGCTGTGGTGATGATAGTGGTAGTCAGTAGTAGGGTGTAAGCGCTACAGGGGATATTTTTTTTGGGCAGAGGACCCCTGTGGGGTGTAAGCGCTACAGGGGATATTTTTTTTCAGACCAAATATCCCCTGTAGCGCTTGGGGGTTTTCAGGTAAATTTTGTCAGTCACAGATTTTAGAAGTAAGGATTTCTTATGAGAAAAATAATTTCCGAGACTTAGAAGTTTGTTAAAGCCTTATGGGAGAAATTCAAATAACGTGTGTAGCACTTTAGGGCTTCCAGGAGAACTCTACGGACATATTTTACATGTTTTCAACTTACAAAATCGTCTATGTAAGCCTTAGTTATTCATATAAATTTAGAAAATCACCTGTGTAAGTCATTGTTTTCAAGTCTCGTACCTCACACCCCCCTCCCTCCCCCTTACCTCGCAATCTCTCGCGTCACCTTTATTTACTTTGCGCCCAGCCAGCCAGCCAGTCAGCTCTTAATCTTATCTTATCTTATCCATAATATCTGGACCGTCCCTCCTCTCTCTCTCTCTCTCTCTCCTCTCTCTCTCTCTCTCTCTCCTTTCATTCAGTTCAACTATTTTCCAACATCGTATGTTTGCTCCTTTTCATTAAGCAAGTCAGTATGTTTGCTCCTTTTCATTAAGCAAGTCAGTTTTACACAAATAAATCATGTTAGTAAGCAAGTTCTAGCTCACGTTCCCCACCTTAGTCCCCTGTCGTATAATGAATACTATCATTCCAATCCCTCTAAAATTTAAAAATAATCATATTTCAAATGTAGTTCAATACAGTAATTAGTTACCAAGCTCCAGCTCTTGTCCTCCGCCTTAGCTCTCTCTCGTATCTTCGTTAGTATCAGTCCAATTTCCCTGAAATTTCTACCCTCTGTATTTCAGACATAGTTTAGTAAATGCAAACAATTATCAAACTCTAGCTCTTGTCCCCAGCTTAGTTCATTTGTACAAAATCCTTAGTAACAGTCCAAATTCCCTGAGATTTTTAGCCTCTGTATTTCAGGCACCGTAAATAAGATCAAGTCAGTTACTGAGCTACAGCTCTTGTCCTCCGCCTTAGCTCTCTCTCGTATCTTCGTTAGTAACAGATCAATTCCCCTGAAATTTCTACCCTCTGTATTTCAGACACCGTAAATAAAATCAAGTCAGTTATCGAGCTCCAGCTCTCGTCCCCGCCTTAATTCTCTTTCGTATCTTTGTAAATAACCCATCAATTTCCCTAAAATTAAAAGCAGACATACTTCAAAGTTAGTAAATAAGATCAAGTCAGTTACTGAGCTCCAGCTCTCGTCCCCCACCCTCTTCCACCCTCAAGTCTTTGTAAATAAACCATCAATTTCCCTTAAATTTTTACCCTCTGTATTTCAGACACCGTAAATAAATCAAGTCAGTTATCGAGCTCCAGCTCTCGTCCCCGCCTTAATTCTCTTTCGTATCTTTGTAAATAACCCATCAATTTCCCTAAAATTAAAAGCAGACATACTTCAAAGTTAGTAAATAAGATCAAGTCAGTTACTGAGCTCCAGCTCTCGTCCCCCACCCTCTTCCACCCTCAAGTCTTTGTAAATAAACCATCAATTTCCCTTAAATTTTTACCCTCTGTATTTCAGACACCGTAAATAAAATCAAGTCAGTTATCGAGCTCCAGCTCTCGTCCCCCACCCTCTTCCACCCTCAAGTCTTTAACCCATCAATTTCCCTGAAATTTTTACCCTCTGTATTTCAGACATAGTAAATATGATGAAAACAATTATAAAACTCTAGCTCTTGTCCTCTGTCCAAGTTCACTCCTGTAAATTCATTACTATCAATCCAAATCCCCCTGAGATTTAATCACCCAACTACATTTTCAGACATAGTAAATAAAAACCAGTTCAGTTATCAAGTTTCAACTCTTGTGCCCCAGCTTAGTTCATTTGT